CTGAGTCACATTCTCCAAATGATCTGTTCATTACTCTTCAAATTTTTCAAGGTCATGAAAACAGGTAAAGATTAAGAAACTCAAGAGATCAGAAGAGACTAAGGAGACATGATAACTGAATGCATTAAGGTACCATGGATTGGATCCTGAAACAGAAAAAGGACATTAGGGGAAAAACTGATGAAATCCAAATAAAGTCTATAGCCTAGCTAATACCATTGTACCAATTTTAATTTCTTAGTTTCTTAGTCTTAACGTGGTTTTGTTAGATGCTAACATTAAAGGAAGCTGGGTAACGAGAATGCTGTGTTCTAGGTTTACGACCCTTCTGTAAATCTAATGTTATTCAAAAAATAATTTTAAAAAGTAAGCAGCAGGCCCAGATAAATTCACTGGTAAATTATACCAATGCTTTACACAATCTCTTCCAGAAGATAGATGCAGAAGGACCACTTTCTAACTCATTCTGTGAAGCCAGTTTACCCTAATACTAAAACCAGACAATAACATTACAGGAAAAGAAACTATAGACCAATATCTCTCATGAACATAGATGCAAAAGTCCACAACAAAATATTAGCAAACCAAATCCACAATGTATAAAAAGAACTATATACCACAACCAAATGGGATTTATCCCAGGTATGCAAGGCTAGTTCAACATTTGAAAATCAATTAATGTAATCTACCACCTCAAGAGGCTCAAAAAGGAAAAATCATATAATCATATCAATAGATGCAGAAAAAATATTTGACAGAAACCAATTTTCATTATAAAAATTCTAAGTGAACTAGGAATAGAAGGGAATTTCCTAAACTTGATAAAGAACATCTACAAAAACCCCACAGCTAACATTATACTTAACAGTAAGCAACTAGAAGTTTTCCTGCTAAGATCAGGAACAAGGTAAGGATGTCCCCTCTCACCACTTCATTTCAACATCATATTAGAAGTCCTAGTTAATGTAATAAGACTTTAAAAGGAAATAAAAGGTATACAGATTGGGAAGGAAGAAATAAAACTGTCTTTGTTGGCAGATGACATGATTATGTATGTAGAAAATCCAAAGAATCAACAACAACAACAAAAAACTCCTGGTACCATCAACTAACAGTTAATCAAGGCTGCATGATACAAGCCCTACTATACAAAAGTCAATCGCTTTCCTGTACACCAGCAATAAACAACTGGAAGCTGAAATTAAAAACACAATACCATTTACATTAGCACCCCACAAAATGAAATACTTATGTATAAATCTAACAAAATATGTACAATATATTTTTTCCTCTATATGAGGAAAAAAATTTAAACTCTGATGAAAGAAATCAAAGAAGTAAGTTGAGAGATATTCCATGTTCATGGATAGAAGACTCAAAATTATCAAGATGTCAGTTCTTCCCAATTTGGTCAATAGATTCAACATAATTTCAATCAAAATCCTGGCAGGTTACTTTGTGGATACAGACATACTTCACTTTATTGCATTTTGCTTTTTTGCACTTCACAGATTCTGGCATTTTTTACAAACTGAAGGTTTGTGACAACCCTCCATTGAGCAAGTCTATCAGCACCATTTTCCCAAAAGCATTATTTTAAAATTAAGGTATGTACATTGTTTTTTAGTTTTTATTTTTAAAGTCTTTGGGAGGGGAGGTAATTAGATTGATTATTTATATATTTATGTATTTATTTTTTAATGGAGATACTGGGGATTGAAACCAGGACCTTATGCATGCTAAGCATGCACTCTAACTAAGCTATACCTTACTCCCTTGTACATTTTTTTTCTAGACAGACTGCTATTATACACTTAATAAACTACAGTATAGTGTAAATATAACTTTTCTATACACTGGGAAACCAAAAAATTCATGTGACTTGCTTTATTGCAGTGATCTGGAACCAAATGCATAATATCTCCAAGGTATGTCTGTACTGATAAACTGATTCTAAAGTTTATATGGAGAGGCAAAAGAGCCATGCCATCACACCATAAGAGAACAAAGTCAGTGGACACTTGAAGACAGTGTCTGAGTTCAAGACTTCCTATAAAGCTACAGTAATCAAGGCAGTGTGGTATTGGTGAAAGAGTACACAAATAGATCAATGAAACAGAATAGAGAACCCAGAAATAGAACATACAAATGTTGCTGGAACAACTGAACATCCACATGCAAAAAAAACGTGAAATGAGAAAGCGCTCTTCAAAAGTTATCATGAAGGTCACCTGTGACAGGAACAAAAAGTGGCCAACAGGGTCTCTGACAGTC